TTAATATTATTAAACAACCACACCTCCCTATCCCAGGTTCTTGGGAAGCACTCAATAGGTAGACAAAAATGCCAAATCCAGTCTAAACATCTGGCTGACTGTGCGACGAACCATAATAATAGAAAGCTGTGTTTCATTGTATTTGGAGCTACTTGATCCTGAGGTTTTTGTGACATTTATTGTTCATATTGTTAGAAATGAATTTAATGAGGTTAATGGTAATTCAACCTATCTCTTCAGTCCATTTACTACATCTGAGTACTTACAATGTTGAAAATCCATGCTATAGCTACATACCTCAGTGATTTTCCTTACTGCTCAACATCATAATTTATCATAAACTAGTATGATTTCTCCTCTATAACATTCCAAATGTGTTTCAATTCAATATTATCCTGATAAGGGAATTAGTGAAACCTACTATTCCAGCTCAATAGCTCTCTACTATGGCACCTTCCCTGTGAACAAATGAGGTGGAAGTTGCCCTTTCCAAATCCTGTTCAAATATTTTCCCTACACATAAACTGAGGTACATTCACATCTATTGTTCTGAATCCTGGACATTCATGTTTTCAGCAGCAAGGGGAAAGGGGAAACTTTCTGGTTTTTGATCATGATTCTGAACTGTGCGCTCATCTACACACAGAAGCCCCTGTCATACTTCCCACTGAATGCCTGGCATGTGGAAATGGGGCTAAAGACTGTGTGCCTTATTATTATTCTTATTATTATTGAACTTGTTATTTATCTTTTCAGTGAATGCAGTCCCTACATGGAGGGAACAAAACAGCAAGGCTTTTGAGTTAGAAACTGATCCCACCAAACCATATGGTCTATTCCTGTGTCAATTTTTCCATGGATCTTTTACCTGAAGAGGCTAGGAACTGAATGAGAGAAATCCTCCTAAGTAGCACCCTTTTTTCCTTTCAGAAATAGCATCAGGAGTAACAATGTCAATGTCAATAGCCGAGAGCCAGCATGGTGTGGTGGTTAAGATGATGGAGTAGGAGCAGAGAAAACCCAGCTTCTAGTCCTCCCTTAGACCTGGAAGTCAGCTAAGTGACTTTGGGCCAATCTTTCCTCCTCAGCCCTAAATCAGTGTCAGGCTCTGCAACAAACCAACTGATAAACAAAATATCTTGTCGCATCATGCTTGATAGTTTTGCTATAAGGACTAAGCAAACATAGTGGAAAAACAAGTGACCCCTCCAACCATGTGGGACAAATGGTAAGAGAAATGTCTAAATCTGTGACATTATAGGATGTTCTGCTCCGTCTGGGTCCTGCAATAGAGCTGTGTGAAGAAGGCGTGCTGTATCTTAGTGAGGCACTTCGTGCGGTAGGGGCAATACACATCTGCCCCCATGAGAAGTCTTGAGATAGGGCTGATCTGCCTGAACTGCCTGCCTGGCTTGTGAACATTCAGACCGGCAGAGCAGTGGGATTGCTCTTAAAGGGTGCTTTGATCAGAGCAAAGCATCTCTTCAAGGCTTTGCACAGCACTACTGTGACTATTACACACATCAGCCTTGGTAAGTGAAAACTTCTACTTAAATTTCTTTCACTTAGATTTTCTTTTACCCTAGTAGGTTCCCTGCTATGCTTTTCTAGCATAGAGATGTAGTGGTGGGAGAAACACAACCTGCTGGATTCTGTTTCTTGTGTCATTTTTTGATAGTTATTTCCATGTTAAATGTACATTTTTTTCTCCCACTCAACTTGGATTTTAAATGTTTAGCACAAGGACGTGTTTTGCAATACATGTATGTGTGTATGAGAGACTGAACTGTTCTACAAAATCTATTTCCAACTTAACTGGAATAGGAATTTACTAATTGGACTTATTTAGATGAGAAGCTGATAGTGGCAGCAATAGATTGTCTATATCATGGTTCTTATTCATTTTACAATCAACTATTACTTCAGTATAATTATGACCCCACTGACAATTATGCATGCATAATAAATTTATGGACAAGCACATTTCTTTTATCTTAGACATGAAAGACTGGAAAAAGTTAATGATAGAATAGAAACATCTGTGCTGCCCCAACTTATGCAAAAAAAAAGGAGAGAGTTATGTCAAGGGTAAGTAGTTAGTGATAAGAGGGCAAAGCCCTAACATACAGAGACCTGACTTTAGGAAGTATTTTATTTCCTAAGAGACTGCATAGCTAAGGCATATCTATCCACAGCAAAGAAGACATTCTAGTGAAATAAACCAGGATGATCCATTCTCTGATTTCATCCATCTAATATTCCAAGACAGATGTAGGAGCAGCATGAGGCAGAAGTCTGAATGCTGTAGAGATCAGACTGATCTTGGCAGAACTACAGAAGTCTAAAGACATTGCTTGGAGCTGATGGTTCAGTTCCCTGCTATGAGGTTCTTGTTTTTGTTTTAAATCCATCAGCTTTCTGTTGATCATGACTGAACTATGCTTTTAGCATACTGTTTTATCGGAAATGTGTCAATATATTTTAAGATAGGTACAGTGGCAATGGCTACACCACTGGAAGACATGAAAGACTAGTCTAGGGACAAATCATGATGGAGAAAAATCTATCTATGTGGTCGCTAAGAGTCGACACCAACTTGATGGCACGTAATCAATTTTAAAATAATTCATAGGTAGACTCTGTGCTTCTGAGACACAGTTTTTCTTCAAGAAACTGGAGAGAGTGCAAAAGTGAGTACAACACTTGTGCACACCACTTGCCTTCTGTCAACAATGGTTTTTTGCCCTTCATGCAATACATCCAGCCCAACTATCTTCCACTGAGCCAAATGATGATATTATGAAAAGGTCCAATTCAATAGTTGTTTTCATAGCATGTTTTTTACTCAGCTATAAGGGCTCCCATATAGGAATTGCAGCATCTGAAGTTAGGCATCACTCCGGGTAATGAATTCTGATCCCAGCTTCAGTGGACCTCAGAGGAGGTGGAACCCTATTTTCGGAATTCATGAACTATTCAGGTTACCCAGCAGCCATGCTATGCCGATGTAAAGTGAGGTATGATCAAAAGAAAAGAGCAACTATACTATAAAAGAAACATCTGAATTATGTGCAGATAGAACAAATTTTAAACTGAGCAGTGTAAACATTAGAAGGTCAGTCTAGGATGATATGGGTTCAAATCACCACTTTCGTCAGACTGATGAAAGTTTCTTTACTGGATACAGGACCAAGAGGGGTCAGAATGATGAAAGCAACATCATGGCATTGTGCCATAAGCTCCGCCCCTACTGTCATTACAATACAGTCCAAAAGGGGTGGGGTTATCTCACAACACTGCTTTCATCATTCTGACCCTCCTTGCTTCCCTGTCCAATCAGGAAACCCCTAACTGGGCCATTCATTTTCTTTCAGTCTTACAAAATAGATTCTACCTCTAGGTAGTGTAAGGCAACCCTCTCAGTTAGTGACTTTTGTTGGAAAAGAGGAAAGGATAGCATATTGTTTGTCAGTTACTGCATTTAATTTATTATAATTATATTGATTTCTCTGCAGAAAGAAATGAGCATTATGGCCCACAAATGCCCAATTAACTCGATCATGCTGGGGTACGATGTCCTTTGATAAGGAGCTGGTGGGGGAGAGGGCAAACATGACATTTACCATTTCATTTCAAACAGTAAACTACCTTGAGCCAACCTCGAGTGCTTACCTACTTCAGGAGACTATTGTAAAGGATAAAAGAGGAAGGCAGCCATTTATATTGCCTTGAACTCTTTCAAGGAGGTACGAATGAAATGAAAATAAAATAAAATATATCCACGAGAGGTGAGAATAGGATGGCATAAAAGCCTTCTTCATGAATCAGAAAAAGTTGCTTTCTTTGACTCAGGGGTGGACAGACCTTAGGATTAGTAACATTCACAAAATGCATCATGTTGCTAGGATAAATTAGATATTAAAATTAACAGAAATTTCGTCAAAGAAGGTTTGAGCATAACAATTTTCTGTTTCATAGATAAATTCTTCTATATGAAAATTACTGCCTCTGGTAAAGAAACTGATACTGAATCCGCCAAGGATGAAGAAATATGGATTTGCCTTTCAATTTTACAGTTGTTGCTAAAAATAGGGAAAATCACAGCTCATTTGGAAAAGTAGAGAACAGCAACATGGGAAACGTCACTGTCAAAAATCACTGACTCTCTCACATTGTTCTTGCCTCGATGGCTAAGGCCTAATTCAAGAATGAACTCTTCAGAGATATGCAACTGGCACCAGCATTACAATCTTAAATTAGAATTAAATTTTAAGGGTGTCCACTGTCCTAGATTGCTTGCCAACCTTATCCTTTGTTGTCTTTTAATTTGCCATTGCCATTGTTTTTTGTACTTGTTTCAATATTTTTTGTTATTTATTGGTCTGGAATCAGTTGTATCTAGGACAAGTTAGAAAAATTTTAGATAGATAGATAGATAGATAGATAGATAGATAGATAGATAGATAGATAGATAGAGTGAGTCAGGGGATAAATGGCTAATAGCATTAGCACCTGCTGTTCAGGTCTCAGAAAAGAGTAATTGATTGAGAGTGAACTTCTCATCAGTCACTGAGGTGAGTCTCTAAACCAATCTTTCCCCCAAAAGTTACAAGTGAAAGATTCTCATTAAAATCAGTTTCCATTCATTGTTTTCACCATCATCTTATGGAATAAAGCTCCAGATGCATATCTGATCTGTGTACATTGATTCTTGCCATTACAGAATTTCAAGTTTGGGAAGAACTTTTTAGAAATTAAAAAGCTAGCTAGCTCCTTCCCCTGAATTGGATCACAAAAATTATAATTTGCCTCCTGCAAATCAGAACCAAATAAAGATTCTTATGCTATACATATTATAAGTTTGTAATGGAATATTGCTGAGATCAAAGGGGATTTCAACCCATGATGATGATACCAAACATAGAGACTGCAGCACCATAATAGATTCAAATGAGCCTCTTAGCTGACCCCACCTTCTCACCATGAGTTAAAGCCTTTACCTGCTCTGGTCCCAGTTGGCAGCAAATAGAACCAGGATCTTCCTGCCATAATGATCAAGGTTGGCCAGCCCTCCTGGGAAACCATCCTTGAGCGCTTGCTTGATACCTGGGTCAGTGGCTTTGAAGCTCTTGAACATATCAAGGTTCTGCTGACGATACTCAAAGTACTGGGCCAACAAGCGAAACGCTTCAAAATGCTGAAACTTTCTGGCCCGCAGGAAGCGAAGAATAAAGGCATCATCTGTGCGAAGAAAGCCAATGTCAGGTCGGGTGATCACCATGTCCCGAACCTCTTGGATGTCTTGGTGCAGGGTGTCTGGGTTCTCATTCAGTTCCAATCGGGCCTTCTCCAGGGTCTCTGGAGACAGACCTGCCTGTAAATGAGTCATTGTGCCACTTGGTCCAATACTGCTCTTGGTTCTTCTTTTACGGAAGAAGGGGTGGAACCTCCAAACTGCCACAAAACCTGAAATGGGGTCCCTTTTTTTATTTGCCTTTAAGAAATCCTTCCTTCCATTTCCAGAATCCAACAAGTTTAGTACTCCTTTGGTAGCAATCTCTCCAATGCTAATACCTAATATGGTTCAATCAATGGGTCTGGCTCAATTCCCATCTGCCCTTTCCAGCCCTCCCAGTGACCCTACACACACACACACACACACACACACAGAGTGCTGATGCTTTCCTTTCTCAGCCCAAATTCCCACCCTTCCAACACCTGTCCACAGCTTGAAGCTGCAGCAAAACTCTAGCTCACATATAATTGAACCCAATTACTCTCCTTCTGCAGCAATTGCCTGTTGATTAATAGAAATAACGGCTCTGACAGGGCCCAAGTAGACAGAATGGAGCTTCCTCCTTCCCATTCAATAGTGATTTAAATAGTCCTGTTAGCCAAAAAATAAAATGCCTTGATCAGCAGATTCAGATCAGCATTAGGATGCCAGAGAGAACAAGGCCAAACAGCCATACAGTGACTTTGCCTGGAGTGCAGAAGAGGTTGAGGTAATTAATTCCCCCACAACGCGCACACACACTAATATTTCTACCCACTTCTTCCTGCAAATTAGAGATCTTCACCTTGGTGCTGCTGAAATAGCTAAAGAACTACAATTTCAATAAATACGATCTAATTCAAAGCTTTCAGTAAAGGTGTTTTTCCTGCCTCCCTCACTCTCTCGAAGCAATTCTTGTATAGCATTAAAAAGCAATGCGTGGCAGGGTTCAAGAGGCATGTGCTGATCAGCCGGATAAGTTGGATTTTTTTTTTTAATCAATTAGCTGCTGCTTCTGTTTCCCCCAAGCTTGAGTCTCCGGAGCTGGGGACGGATTCTTCTACCCGTTCTTTCGCCCCCTCCTCCACTCTCACAGTGACCTCACCTAGTGCCAGCAAGGCTGCCGTCTGTCCCCTCGGTCGCCTCCGGGAAAGGGGGAAAGAGCGGGAGAGGCCGGGGGTGAATTCTGGGCTCCCTTCGCTCACTCCCGGAGCAGGTCTGGTCGCCTCGCAGGGACGCCAGCCATCCGCCGGAAGCAAGGCATTCAGAGACAAAAAGGAACAGCCAAGTAATGCCTATCAGCGAAGCAGCCGACAAACATACACCAGGCAATGCGGCACCTTCCGGCATCCATCAGCTAAGGCAGCAACTCCTTTGGATGGGAAGCAGACCAGGCAGGAGCGGCCAGAAAGGAGCAGCCGATCAATCAAGGACGGGCCTGTGGGCTCCGGGCTGCCCTGTTCCCTCCCGTCCGCCCCCCTCTTCCCCCTTCGGCAATTGTTGTCCAGGCATCAGGGCGTGGAGGCGGCGAGTCCTCCTCGCCGGTCTCTTCGGAGGGGCAGAGCTACCGCCAGAGGAAAGGTGAAGCTTGGCGGCCGGCGGCAGCCGAGAGCCGCCCCGCTGCCCGCCCGCCCGCCTTTGTGTTCCTGCAGGAGCGGCCGGTGACTTCTGCTGTGGCTCTGCCTGGCGAAGGATGCGCCGCTTCGAGCAGGTCTACGTCAATCAAGGCTCTCTGGGCGGCAGCCGCTGGGGCGAGTTACTCCAGCTCAAATCCCCCCCCCCGTCCGCCCCCGTCTGTCATTCCCCCCTTGTTCGCCGGGCCGGGGGGTTTGGCGGGGGGGCGGGCCACAGCCCGGACGGGGGGCGGGCGGGGGGGG